CAGTTAACTTAGTTATGTCGCATTGAAAATATACTTTATGATTAAATAGAACAAGAGTCGAAAAAAAAATTTTTTTCCATCCTCTAAAAAATGTACCAAAAAAAACCTTATATTCTTTATTCAATTACATCGATCGTCAAAAGATTGTTTCCAATGATTCTCGCGCTTTGTGTAATAAGCCATATCTGCAAAATGACAAACTTTTCAGGAAAGAGGTTTAATGATTCTACCGAATAGACATTTCATACATACATGATTTGTTTCACGTAGTTCGGATTATTTTTCAAGACTTTCAAGTTATATATGTATATATATTTTATTAAGAAAAAACCCACCTCAAAAGTTTGCTTATTCGTTTTCGCTGTGTTAATTTTCGTTGAAATTACATTCATATTTTTCATTTTTATTAGAATCGGTTAACGGAAAAAAAGTTAAACCGGATTTCTCCCCTAATTTGTCATACGTAGAGATGGAATATTTTCTTTAAGTTTAAATGGACCATTACTAGCAATCGTTTCTTCTCCTTGTCGTTTTCTTCATTGCTGAAGTAGAAGCCTCTATCAGGGCAGTTGTTATAGGGAGGCCAGTGAGGGCGGTCACTTGGTCACTTCCATCGGCTAGGTGAGCGACCGTGGAGTATCTTTGTCTCCACGGTAACCTGTACCGTGTATTTTACCCACCATGACCAGTTTGTCAAGATTGTCTTGTTGTCAGCGTGCAATATGACCAAAATACATATTTCAGGATTATATGGTAGCACATTGTGGCAAGTCTATATGCAATACTGAGTTGCTTAAATATGGATTGGTTTGTTCTTCTAGCGGTCCACGGTATACAGAGCATCCTTCTCCAACACATCTCGAAAGCGTCTATTTTTTTCCGTTCTGATACCCGAATCATTCACGACTCTGAGCCATATTGGACACTAGTCTCCATTATGCGTCTCGATCGCGTAACTTAACAAAAAATACAGACGAATTGAGAACCTCCACCTTTTTAAAGTCGGTTAAAAAGGACTATCGACGTATGATCACATGTGGCGTTATTACACAAAGGGTGCGAATTTGAAATATGGTAGCAAATGTGTCTATTTAATGTATTTTTCAAAGTAGGTAATGAAAGAAAGGGGTCGATTCATTGCACAACCTAAACCGCTATTTTCATTAGGGCAGAGCGTCTGAATCCAGCAAAACAAATTGATAATATAAATCAGAGACCGGAATGGAAAAATGTGGCGATTCAGCGCACTCTAAATTGAACAAAAACTGCGTACAAATAAAGTTTACTCTTGCCGAGCCGAGACTTACGAATTCTTAATTTAGCTTCCGCTTTATTTTCATTTCAAAAGAATGACATAATAAAAGATATCACAAGAACCCGAGTCTTACTGTACTCGTGTAAGCAATTTCAATTCACGTGTGTTTCAAAGCCTTCAAGAAAGTCAGGGTTAACGACTTAACAATATCCACCTACTTACTTACGTTATAAAATTGAATAAATCTTGTCACGCAAGGCATCGTGATTACGCATACAAATCGCTGTGAGTATATATCCATTTAGTTTAAATTACAAATTATACAATGTGTAACAAGGTAACAGTTCCTCTTATAAATGGATTATAGATGTTCTTTGGCAACGCACACTAGAACACCCAGACTAGAATCACAATCAATTGAGGATGTTTTACATGTTGTATACGTTGACATCAAATTACTTTAGTCGCTTGTTTAAGATTTTTTTTTATGTATTACCAAGTGACAGGACGAACAAGACGCTCTTATTCATTATAATTGCTGTGTTAGTTAGAGCTTTAAACCGCAAAGATCTTAGGGGCACCGCCGCTGCGGCAGAAATAGGAAAAGTGGCAATATTTCCCTGAACGAACTCTTTCAGAACGAGTTCTACTGCTACCAAAGGTATATTCAGATATACGCCTCACTCGCGACCGCTGTGGGTAGCGAAATCGGATTACCCGGTATTCCTATTGTTCGAACCAAATATAATACTCCAGTCAAAGGAGAGGCCACACCGCGAGTGAAGCTAAGTAAAAAAATGGGTACGTAAAAAAATAAAACAGAGAATTCGTTCGTATTCCTTAATACCTACAAGTGGAATTTACATTTTGTAATAGTGCATTTAACTAGTAGTTAGTATAATAATTGTTATAAAATATTGCTTGTAAAGATAATCCAGAAACCATTTTTGGCATATTCGAAGCGCCTGTAAATGTATTATTAGCAATTGCACGGAGAAGATAAACTGTCTTTTTAGAGAATGTTTTAGAGGATAACTTTTGCAAAGACGTTTTATTTTTTTTAAATAACTTTTTATAGAAGCTTCGTAAAATGGTGAAAAACAAGTATGTTTAGATAGAAATAAGTTAGTAAATAGTATTAAGAAATAAGAATTAGGTATTAGAAGTATTGTTTGGAATTGCCTTTTTTCGTTTAAAAAACATTTTTTAAATCGAAATTCATAATAATGGAATGGAATCATACGAACTTCCGTATTAACGAGTTCTTAGGTTCTCACGACTGTTACGCATAGGAAATGAAACTATTTTTCCGCATTTAACAAACCAACGTTTCGGGCCTTTTACTGGTCCCATGGTCACGATTGCGCGAAAACTTCGTATTATTTTACGCGTATAATGGTTTCTGCCCACGATTTTGGGTAGAAATGGATTAAAACTTGGCGCTTTGTGTAAAACCCGATTAAGCCCCGGGCGGATTGATTGGGTTTTAACCCATTGCCCATCTCTGGCTGTAGATAAAAGTCAATCTTAAAAGTGATTTAAATACAATACTTACGAAATATATTTACGAAATATATTCTAAAAAAAAATGCTCCACTAATTGATATACACAAAGAAACATAAAGAACTATAGATATTTATATGAATGATAATATTCTAAAGTGTACTTTTTTACATTGCATATGTAATACACTTCCGGACATATAATTCGAGCCACCACACATTTTCAGTATTAAGTGCCCTAAGCTTAAACAATGTTTGATTGATCAAAAACTTATACGATTTTGAAACTAGTATACGTCTTTTCCATAAGTCCTTATTGGAAATTTGGATGTGCAAAACCGGGGAGAAAACTTTTTCTTCGATGGTAACCTATTTTTGTATTCTAGTCCTTTACGACAAAAATGCGAGGTGGCTCTAATTATGAGTCCGGGAGTATATTTCTTTATTTCTATATTATATTAAAGCACTCTTTTAACTGACGGAATATATTCTAATTACAGGCCTACCGCTTAAGATTCAATTTATATTGCGAGGAAACGGAATGGAAGCGAATTGTTGTAACGATATTGTACATAGCGTAAATAACTTCATGGTGAAAAGTGTAACATACAAATTAAAAACTAGCCAAAAATCATGTCTTCCGCGGAATTCTCGAGAGTGCTCGCGCGTTCGCGAGAATTCGAGCAAAGGCAGGCACAGTGTGACGTCTAACCTCGACGAAGTACTAATACACGGTTTTCATATACGTGTAAGTTCTTAAATACGTCATTCACGAAGGCGCCCCCTGTTGGCGGGCGTAAGCATTACAAGCCGTTATTTTCGAGGACGTCAGCCGCGCGCTCCACCTTAACAAGGCAGAAATGCCCGGTGTTTTCTAAAATATAAAAATTACGTAAAATCTCATGAGACAGTGAAACCTGGTGCTAAACATGCATATCGTGAACTTGTCCATAACCCAAAGCCGTGCTCCGCGGATCAAACTCTCCTCATCGTGGTGTCACCCAAATCGCAGCACGCGGTGCCGGCTAGCTAGCCGCCGTGATCCAGCAGCTCCTGTATTCATCAACCAAATCAAGGTAAATGGTGCTTTGTTCAGTGTTTGGCACTGACGGTGCAAACCTGTAGGTACGGGTTTCATCTTCCAAAAAGAATCGCGAGACGGCTCATTGTGGAGCTACGTGTATCCTGCAGATGTGTGGATCCTTTCCACTTTGTTACCTTCATTCCCATACAACTACAGCCTCAAGCTAACTACGGCCGCCTTCTCGCAGCGAAGCAAAATCGACGCTTCCATTTCACTTCGTTCCGCCGCAAAGGAATTTGAGCCTTACTGAGTGAGTTCCTGAGGGAGCTGCAAGATGCGAGAGGAGTGACAGTTTACGTAACAGTTGTGTCGCGCTGCACACGGAATAATTTCAACAAGATTTTTCTGTCGATATTCAATAACAATTTGATTGAAAAAGTGCTAAGTGACTTTCATTTGAATTTATCAATGAAATGGTTTTTTTTTATTATCGGTTCACATAATAACTATTCACTAATTTGGTAGGCACCTTTTTCAATCAACTTGCTATTGAAAAATCATCAGAAAAACCTTGTTCAAATTATCTCGTGTGTAGCGCGACATAACTGCTACGTAAATTGTCACGGTTCCCGCACCACGCAGCTAGCTACCTCAGGAACTGACTCAGTTGAACGGTAGGCCTGTATGTCATACAGGTACGACTTTTTGACCATGTTTCTTAGAAACCAATGTTCTTTTCGTTTTTAATCATGTATTAAAAATAAGTCTCGCTTATAAAGTTACCTTTATTTCGTAAAAAATATGGTGAATATTCTCCTTGTTAATTTAATGTGTAACTTTAGTAGTTAAAATTCGTTTTCGCTTACATTTATGATATAAGCGAAGTTTTTTGTGGTCTACAGTTATACCATCTCTTAAGAGGTGTTTTAAAAACAACACAGCACCTTTCAGACCTTCGTGTACATAAAATACATTGGTACCATGTAATAGCCTATTTACTAACGTATATTTTTTCTTTATTTTATCTATAACCAAGTACCGTTTTCATAATCAATGGAGTACAAACGTTGAAACGCCGCCAGCCTTTTAGCTCGATCAGCGGCATCCTTTTCGAACATCAATATCTCTTTGCTACCTAACTGACATTCATATATCTTATACGTATTACAGTTATTTTCGACAAAACGGCCACTTTTTATATCAATTTTAACAACATCACATTTATTTGCCATAAATTTACTCTTAAACATATCGTTTGTCAACTTGTCATGCGAGAACATGTTTCCCACAGACTCATCTAACATAAACATATTTCTTCTGGAGTTGTCATGTACAAACACGTCTTTTGCTATTGAATTATTTGGCGTAAACTTATCCTTAACGTATAATCTCATTTTTTCACGTTTTTCATTGGCTATGTACACTTTGTCACCTATTTTTTCAAGAAAAGAGTCTGTTTGCGTGTCATCTTGTTTTATCCAGAAAAACGGGAAGTCGTGGGCTTGTTAGCGTCAGTCTTCACAGAAAGAGACCACTGGTGCAGAGTGGTGATCCCGGGGGGGTACAAAGCATGCGCAGACGGGAGGTCCTGGCGAAGACAATGCGGAACCAGGCCCCAGTGACCCTCCAACGGAGAGCCTAGCTCTGTCCCTGATGTTCAGAATGGACCTTTCCTTCCACCACCGATCTTCATTACTGTTGTAGTCGATGCTGTGGCGTACGTCTGGTTCTAGAACAAACAATTAACTTTATAGGTAAAACGTTACTTAATACTACTACTACTACTACTACTACGACTAGACTTAATTTCTTGAAATTATGTTTAATTAGGTTTACTTTTAAAATAACGGGCTGGCCAAAAAGATCATACGGTTTTTGCCACTATAATATGAATCATAGTTAGATGAGTCCAAAACGTAAACAAAGAGGATAACATTTTCTCTAACATGTTCGGAAAGGAGATGTTTGCATTACTTTCAAAAAACAAAGACGGAAAGTTTGTCATTTATAGACGTGCGACTTCTTCCCGGCCAAGGCCTTCAAATTGAGCATAAAAATATGAAAATCCAGTACTGTTCGCTACTCTAAACTTTTAAATTTATTTACTTTATAATTTTGAGGTAGGTAGTCAATTTAGTTAACGAATTTCTAAAGTTTACGTCTATTACACGCATTCGCCATTATTCGTAGAGCTAGCCCTATTAATTAACTAAATGAGTTGATTTCAGTCATTACCAAGATTATAACACTGATTAAAATAAGTCACAGTTCAGTCGATACATTTCAACCTCGATTCTCGATTTCAGTAATCGGGTCCGTCACTGGTTTAGCGAGTTTAACATGTGTCATTCTAATCAAAGTAGCTTGGACGCTTGGTTTCCTTTCCAACCTCAAAGGGACGCTTAGACTATTGTATTTTCCATCCTCTATGCTTGGACGGAGTATAATGAACTATCTAAACACGTAAAAGAAAAAATTATACAGCCAATTGTCCAGTGTTTGTAAAAATGCTTACCTGTAACGCTTACTTCTTTTTTAAAAAGAAAAAGGGGTAAAATACTCTGAGTGCTTTGGTATTCTTTTCTGTTTTTTCGTCTTTTTCGTCGCGAAAATGAGTTCTAGTCAGAAAAGCGATAACGAAAATACAGTAATGGGTTGTACGCCGCCCAATTTAAAACGAGAGGCAATATTAGCCAAATTTCAAATGTAATTCATATTTTTTTACTTTTTCTATTATACATCTTTCTCACTTCTTAGTCTTATAGTACTCCCTCACATCGTTTGAGAAAAGCACTATATACGCCTCGGCGAGAAAAAACATTTTCAACTAAAAACTAAAACAATGGCGGATTTTTGTAGTTACAGTTTTTACGTATCTAATACAATTTTTACGAATATACTTTCTTATATTTTTTGTTATCTGTTTAATTAATCTGATGGCTCCATAGCCAATGCTCAATAAATAAATAATATTATAATAACTTCGGCGGGTACGGGGATTGCTTGACTCGTAATAATGTACTATTTAAACGGTACTTTCCTTCTTCAACGATAATAAACGTTTAGAAATCTTTTCAAGGTGTAATCTGACTAAACTTAGAACAAATCGTAGGTGATAGTAACTAGCATTTAATTATGAGTCTCCGTAATTTAGTGGCCAAATCAAATACGCTTAAATGTGGCAACAAATTAGCGTGATTTACGGGAATCTATTATTATCACTCCGTAGGCAACATAAATTAATGCTTACTGTGCAATAATGAAAATCGTAGCCATTGTAATAAGAAAATCCCTCTCCTGTGAAATATGTGTGCGGATTTGTACTATCCCCGACAAAATACAATATATATTTTTCATAATTATTATACAAGACTAGGTATGTATGTATTTAAGGTCTGGTAAGGACACATATACAATAAGAGAATATATTTTATTTCTAAAAAGTAACGTATATAAATTGTGCAAAGCTTCAAAACCTCAACCACGATACCATTTCACCTTAAAGTATCTTCTTCTCATTAACTTTAACTTAAGTGTAAGTGCATTTCTGTGTTTGTAGGTTTATTATAGGGATAAAAATTCAATGTTACGAATATTAAAGTTTCATAGAAATGGAGTTTTGATTCTTATTATGTGTCTACTAAGTTTTTAGTAAAATTTTATAAAATTACATAACTCATAGAAAATCTATTTTAATATCTGCTAAAAGGAACCTCGTATAATTACATTCAAGACACGTAATTATGTAAAATCATTCTAAATTTAATCACGTCGCTTTCCTTGTAATTTGCTTGTGGACGAAAAGCAGAATCGTAAATTCTAGAGGTGAATCGTAATTCATTTCTTATTGAAAATAGAATTGAATTAAAATTTCAAAAAAATTTCCTTATCATAATTTAATTCCGAGTACTTGTGTCATCATTTCGAATCATTATGTTTTTGTGTTACTACGTGTTCATTGGTCCAAAATACTGGGTGCTAACAAATTAGGTACGGGTACTTTTAGAATCGATTACTTATCTCATTAAATACACTTTGAAGTAAGATAATTGCAATAAGTCTAGTGTCACATTTTTGAGAAATTGAAGAAAGTTAGTTAATTACTACACGCACCTTGTAAATAACATTACTGTTTAGTGTATAATACCTATTAAATGATGTCTTTTGAAACGTACAGGCCACTACACTACACTGGAGTCGCTATCTCTGAGGTCCCGGGATGGATCTCCTTCAGGATAAATGTAGAAAAAACCAACTTTTCTATATTGTCTCGGGTTTGGGTGTTAGTGGTACCGTCGTTGTTTTCGATTTGCATAACACAAGTGCTTTATAGTCGTCACCAAATAAGATGTCAAATTTGACAGCTAAAGAAGGCGATAGTATGTAACTTTGAATGTGATCAATGAAACAATAAACAAACAATTATTAGTATAATTGAGTTTAAAAAAAATACATAAATTTTATTGAAACATTATATAATATGACAAAACATATTAGAAGTACTGTTTTCGCAGGAATTCTAAAATAAAATGCAATTTTCAGTTACTCCGAAACGTCCTGACAACAGTTACGTCCTCGAGCTATTTCTTTCTTAAATAATAGTATTGTAAACAATTAATCGCCGAATTTCACCGAGTCACTTCGATTTCTCGGAAAAAATATTGACTTTTGTAGTTGTTTTATTGACGAACATGCTTATTTACACTAATTTCTCGTAATAAACCATTTATGAATATTATAAAATCAAAAGAATTGGATACAATTAATCGGAATGTGGGACAATTTTACGAAAATAAGAGGAATTGCTACAAAATTGCAAGGAATTCGTAAATGAATTGATTTTAACTGAATTGCACGATTTGGCCTTATAGGCCCCCTGAACAATAATGAACCGAAAAATAATCTCATTTTCATTCAATTCAACTGCCTCCGTGGCTGAACGGTTACCATGCCGGACTGCCACGCAGAGGTCCCAGGTTCGATTCCCGGGCCGGGAGAAATGTTTGTATGGCTTACATTTATTTCTCTCGTGAGTTTGGGTGTAATTTGTGGTTTTCTATGTGTGTGTCCATGGCACCCGCGACACAGGGTTTCCCTAGTGCGGGGCTATGTTGAATGTGTGCGTTATTTTTTTATTTTTTTTTATAATCTAAACAATCACAAACTTAAAATTTTGAATCGATTTCTCGTGAAAATCGTGTAATGCGATTACCGATATGATTAGTCCACATCCCTATTCGCATCGTGTGTCAAATTTGGCCTTTTATTTGGTGACGACTATAGTTACTTACTTTGGGATTATAGCAACGTATGTAATGTTGTCTAATATTTAATATTTAATTACCTTAATTATTCATTACCTAATTATTAATCAAACGAAAAAGACAGTCAAAGTCTGGATTGTGATAATTTTTGTTTCTGGTTTATCAATATCTTTTTCTAATTGGTTCTAACAAACATGAAAAATCTTTATTTCCCTGCAAAAGCTTTGTTTTTGTGATCGGGACAACGAAAACTTGAAAATACAATTAAGGAAAGGTATAAATGTCCGAATTTATCTTTATTTAAAGACAAAAGGGAACATGATTATTTAAAATCTATAATTGTATATTTAAACCAAAATTCTACAAACTGATGACAAAGAATCTAGACATGTGTAGATTTAGGTACGAGACTATGTAAAAATATCACTATGTATTATAATACAAGCAAGCAATATGCCTATCTATAGCAGTTGTAATACCACTCAAGTCAAAAGATCTGAGAGCACTGCCACTGCGCCCGTGACCCAGAGACATAAGTTGACTTGTCAACTTGTCGTCCCATGTGCCTGTAATTTCACCAGCACCCTTCAAAACCGAAACACAGTATTGCTCACATTGCTTGGCGGCAGAAATAGGTAAGGCAATACTACACTGGGCGAACTCTGTCAGAAGGCGCTCTACTGCTACTACCTCGTTCAAGCCTAAGCTTACTCAAGTTCATAAAAACAAAATTTAAGTAAGTAATAATCAATTTATTACGTATTCTTAGAAGTTCTGAAAGACGTTATTTAAAAAATACACATCTGTTAAAAAAATGTTTCAAAATATCGGTAACAAGTTAAATAAATCTTCCCAAGTAAACAATACTTATCAAAAGACGGTAAATTATTTTTGAAGAAAGATTTACGTAACAAATATATTGTGTTATTTTACGTCTAAACATTTTCTTGTTATTCATAATACTTTTTCCTCCTTATTTCTAAGATTTCATAAGACCTTTTAAACTATTGTGAATGACATAAAAGTAAAGAAATGAATCTATTTTGCCGGATTTAATACGCGTATATTTGTTTTTTCAAACAAACCGACGTTTCGGGCCCTTTACAGGTCCCATGGTCACGGTTGACTGAGGTGGTACAGTCTTCAACCAGTTATGTCTAATATTAATGCAAACCACCCTATTTTTCCACTATAGTTACAATAGTTACTAATTAAATACCTTATTTTTAATTTTACAAAGAAAACATTCCAATTTACGCACATTAAGTTTTACAAATTATTGTATTGAATGAATTTTTATTACGTTCAATTTATTATTAATTAATAATAGAAATTAGAATAAACTAAAACATTAGTACTGCAGTCTTATGTCTGTTTGGGATTTTTCATCAGAGGAAATACTAGTTTCATTTCCTATGTGTAACAATCGCGAAAACCTAAGAACTCGAGACATAAAAGTAAATCAAACAATCACTTACGTAATAAGAATAATCCGATCAAATCTTAAAATACATGACTTCGAATAAGAGAATATAAATAAACCTTCAATTTTCATGAGTGTTTCCTCGAGAGTGAATTCAAATAATGTATAAAATTTTATAGTGCCTTTTGTTGGAAAATTTCATTGTACAGACATAGTATAATAAATAATAACACAAGTAAGGTAACTTCATTCAATTCAAACGTAGCAGCGTAGTTCGTATATGTGCACGCTCGCCGCGCATACAGACTCACACATTTACACTACTTTAACAAAATAGTACATTATTGCAGAGACCGGGAAGTAAGGGATTGATATTGAGTATGAGTTGAGCAATACGAGTCAAGGAATTTCTGTTCCCGGCGAGGCTGATATAGTGCTTTTCTCAAACAATGTAAAGAAACAATAAAAAGTAAATTGAAAATAATATTTGACATTATTAGGACAATTATATTGCTATATTATATACGAACAAAATGTTCATGTTGTTCCGAGCACATTAATATTAGCCTGCTGAACTTCCAAGGGTGTGGTTTAATATATATCCTTTACTATATTTTCGTTATGGGAACGGTTAACACTATAATTTAATAGAATAAAATATATTTTTCCCTGTCACATTGTTTACTATGCGTTGGGCTCGATTTCTCAGCGATATCTCGTTTAGTAACGAGGACTGAGAACATTGTAAAGGTGGCTTGCGTTAGCTATAGCGCGCTATGACAACATGGAGGCTCAAATCATCGTCTACTGCCGTTCTTCGTCCGACATTTGTCCAAAACTATTGCTGTCAAATAAGTAATACGCGACCAAATCAAAACGCAAAGTGAAGTATGAAGCTTCATTCGCATCATGCGTTTTTTTAATATGGTTGAGTATTACTTATTTGGCAGTAAATGTCTCCTGAGATTTGCCTGTAGCGCGAGCAAGTCCGTATAAATCGATGTGGCCTAGAGTGACCCACAAAATCACAGTCCGTGGAAATCCTTCAGGGCGCATTTATTCCACACGAATGTCATCACGCTCATGCCGCGCGGTATATTGCCGCCGCGCAGCGACTGTCATATGTAATATAACTGTCATGGCAAAGTGTGCTCTATTCATTTAGCTTTCATGTTTTAACTCAAATGACCGTCCCGATTGCGCGGGCGAAACTGGCTTGTCTTTGGTCTACACGGCTCTCGCGCGGTTGTATTATTCCGAGGAATCTAAATGTTGTTGCCTAGTAAATAGAATTCAAATTCGCCATTAATGTGCGTGAAAGCGTGGTAAGTGGGTGCTTAGTGTGCTATTTTGCAAGGAAACCAAAACCAGGCCTCAAAGATGATATGCTTTACACGTGCTCAACGACTGGAGAGTTCCGACCATAAAAGCCGAATATTATAATTTGTTTTTCAAGAAGATAGAATATTTACCAATTTTCAAAACTCGTATCACTGGAATACCAATAAATATCCTGAGCATTTGCGCACTACGTCCGATTTGTATCCATTCCAAATCCGAGATATGACGGTCCGAAATGTCACAGGGTTAATTTTACCTTTAGGTGTACAAGGGATATTCATAATTTCTCGGATTGGAATCGGACTTAGTGCACAAGTGACATATGATGTGGATCCAGGTTTTATAGATTCGTATAGTCTCGATCTCTGAAAGGATACGAATCGGATGCTGTGCAAAAACGCGCTAATTCAAAAGCTGTAATGTTTAATCTTATTTTTAACAAAACAAAATATCGACTACGCAATAATCAACAAAGACGCCTCTACGAGCCGTGTAGGCGGATCTACGCCGTAGCATGCATTACAGTTTCTCAAAATAGAATAACGTAGCTTAATTGTGAGTAAATAATGACAATGTTTTCGTGATTAATACTTACGATATCTGTACAGAGAGTCTTTTCTTCTGTCGTGGTCTTCTCCTATTAGCCACCAAGTCTTCATTTCTCCTTTGCCCTATAAAAAAATAAATAGCATTAATTTCTAATACAAAATCTATGAGAACTGTAAAACGATTGTTGTGTTTGACTCTAGAATGTTCTAGATTCATATAACATAGGCAAATAAAAGTAATAGACAAAATATTTTGCAACATAAAAAAAACAACACAATAATTTAAGAATTGGTGAAAATGGCGATAAGGGTTCACATATAATAGGACCACTTGTTTCATATCAACAAAGTCAGTACTGCGAAATGGTTATATTTATTGAATTTGTCGTAACTTTTGATGCTTTTGCACATGTAAGAAACTTTTGAAAACGGTTTTTTTTTAAATTCAACTGTATACAGATATATAATTATTAACACAAGAATCGAACATAAAGAAAAATTCCTTCGACTCGACAGAATTTGAACCTGCGACCATGCTATACCGTAGCGTCGCTCTGCCAACTGGGCTACAGGTCAAGTTAGCAGATCGACGAAATTCTTTTATTTATGATCTGGTTACTAAGACGCATAAATACATACCGTATAGACTAACATACATAATAATATAACAAAACACTTTAACATTAAACTATTTTACACTAAAGGAATCGCGTGAGTCGCGTGCTCACGGTATATTTTATTCGCGCAGGTGATGCACGTTCCATGAACATGGCGCCACTGAATTTGGGAACGCGTCAGAGGGTTTACTGGCTGTGAATGGATCCCTTTCGATTTGCATAAGAGCTCGTAAAAATACGCCGTGTGCATAAACTCTTAATTTAAAAAAGTCCAGGTAGACACATTCACGCAAAATATTTTGTATAAAAATATGACTGTATAGCGTTAACCAGAAAAAGTAATGTTCGCCCACTCAACGCATATAAAGGCTGGTTGGTTATGGCCGCAGTTTATCACAATTATAACATATTAACGCCACAAGTAGCGCAATAAAGGTAGCAACATATTATTCGTAGTACTATTACAGTAGACGAAGGTATAGGGACGTCTTCTTACTTTGTAATAGAAAAAAAAAACTTTTATTTATGTGAATAACTTCCTAATTAACAGTTTCCCTTCATCACAGTAAGAAAATAAAAGATATTGAACATTTCCATCGCCAGCTGCGAAAACGCCTAAGAAGTAACTGTCGTTTATCACGTACCAATTTTTTTAATTAACACTTTCTTTGCCTTAAATTGTCTAATCTTGTAATTAAAATGTATTATTTTTATGGCGGTCATATTTTTACCTCTGTTTCACATTATTTTTCACGATTATTTTTGAGATACGAAGTGACGGGACGAACATTTGTGGGTCTGGTCGTCAACGAAACGATTGTCCATAATAGTAGCAGAGTCATTCAGAGCTTTAAATCTCAAAGACCATGTGCCATTCGATAGGTATGGAGGTTACAACACTATAATTATTTTCCTTTACCGTTTATAGAGAGGCGTTGCAACTAAACATTGTTGCAAATTACGAAATTGGATTTTATATTGAAATTTAAATCAATTTGTCGCCATCTAGCGGTTAATAGCTGAACGAGGACAAATTCGAGATGTTTTACTAGTTCTCCAAAATATAAACAACCATATTGCAACGGTAATAAGGTTTACTGTCGTTTCTTGTAACAAAAAATTTAATATAAAATAAGACTTAAGCCGAATTTACATTTGTCTGACGTCTCGTGTCGTCAGGCGTCGGAATGGTATCAGTTTCATATATTTACTATGGTTACATTTACATTAGTGTGTCGTAATCTGACGGGACGGTTTGTGTTGTGTTGTATCAGAAGCGATCCCGATCTGCGTCAGGACTTGAACGGAGCAGCTTATTAACTGGTTTAACTGTTTTTTAAATAGCATGTTCTTCTCACATCTTAGCTTTCGATAAATTATTGTAAATTTTTGGCGTCATTACAAAAATACTTTTCCGCATGAAGGTAGTTTTACAGGCTTGCGGACTTTATTAATTAAGCGCCAATTTAACTATTTGATAATAATGGTAGGTGTCCCGGATTACGAATGTCTAAAACAGTTCGAAAAATATACAGTGTGCTTTATTAACTGGGATAGTATGGGGTAATCCGAAACTGAGTCCATGAGCACTAAAAAAATTTATTCATTTCTACAACAACGCTTCATTTCTACGACAACTCAAACTGGAACAAAAAAGTAAATAAAATCCTACAACAGTTTCCCTATATCTCCCATAGTTTCGGATTTCTCCATACTGTCTCAGTTAAAAAACACACACTTTGTATAAGATAAGCAATTCTTACCTTAATATTAACGATGCCCCGTTCTTTAAGATGGTAGCCGCCATGATGTTTCAGCAGCTTGTATGTGTCGTTGCTGACATGGATGCGGCCTGATTCCCCGCTGGACTCCATGCGGGCTGCAGTGTTCACTGTGTCCCCGAAGAGGCAGTACCGGGGCATTTTCACGCCTACTACGCCAGCTGCGCATTGACCGCTGTGAATCCCTGAATAGGAAAAACATGTTTCTTTATTTAGAAAGGGAACATTACATTACAATTCTGTTTACTTTTATTAACAGAAAATTATTTAGTAGCAGTAGAGCTCCTTGTGAAAGATTTCGTCCTGACACGTACAGCCAACTTACCTACACACATCAGAATCTAGGGATATTTTATATTTCATCAAATATCAAAAAATCTATGAAAAATTTTCTGATATCGTAAATGGAAGAATGATAGGTTATTTTAAGGTCATTAATAAATAATAAAAACATTTCGTGATTTTTGTTTTTAATGCAATTTTTTTTATAGCCTTAGAAAATTAGTATGATACAAAAACTTCATTTCTTCTTATAAAACTATAAATTTTAATTAAAATTGAAAAAAATTATAAAATCTAATTATTCATAATCAGTGTTGCCACCTCTAATATTAATTACACATCGACATCGATTGTTCATACCTAAAATTAAATTGTCAATATTATCTTGCTGCGGTACGAGGACCCCTGTTCTTTGCAAGTGTTCATAAAATTGTTGTTCCGTCGTCAAATTTGGCGGGAAATCCCTCAAAGTCTTTTGTTCTAACATGTCC